CCATGATTGCTTCATACCATTACTCCCTTTGCATGTAGTACATTTATTATCTCTTCCACCTTGTAATAGAGTATATTACTAGTACAAGATTACACATAAACACGTTGCAACCAATTGCTTAGACTTGCCATGACATCCAAATGCTATCACCTAATCAATTTCCATCCCTGTTGATATCGCTGACAATCACGTTTTTCGTTTTTATTTTTGTACTGTAGGCTGACAATCACGTTAGCTTTTACGTGCTGTGTTAGGAGACGGACAAGTTTGTCGTTATCTATTACAAAGTTGTAAGCTTTAAAGGCACCATGCATGTAAAGAAAATGACGACTTATTCAACCTACCAAGTGGTGTACAAATGCTGTTGTTGGATTGAATGAAGGTGCACGAGCCATCTTCTGGCCGAATGCGGCATGTTTGATTGATGCGGGAAATCTTTGTCGCGTTGCACCTGCCAACGGAATCATAGATTAGGATTGTGTTTACATCGTTCTATATCATCAAAACGATTCATCCTACCTCATGTAATCGGATAAGCAACATCTGATTTGATCCAATCAGTGAGAATGCCCACAGCAAGTTTGATAAGGGCATCCTCAACTGTCACAATAATAGGTCTCTTCTTGATTATCGTCATGTTGGATTGATGTCATTCGTACACTTTGGTCTTGATACTACTCATGAAATTAGTAAAAAAGGCTGCCGCTTGTGAAAAGAAGCTTACCAAATCATAGATCCATTTAAAAAGCAACGCTCGTATGATCGTATTGATAGCTACGGCGATCGTTGTTGATTTCCATGACATGAGAAAAGTACAGAGGAAATGACAAGCAGACGATTTGATCACCAATACTTTTCCGGGGCTGGCGCGGAGCATGTACTTTGGATCCCTCAAGGAACACGGCCAAATGTCACTAGGCACCAATGAGCACTTCAAGTGGTAAAGCAATGAAATTTAGAGCTACGTAGATGAAAACTTAAAAGATGGATGCGTCAGTACCCTCATTTTTGGGATCACATAACAAAGACTATCCTTGAGACTTACCAAAGGCCATCGATGATGATATGAATACAAGTAGAAGAAAGGGCGTATGATAGTGTTGGTGACAACAGCCTTCTTGTTTATATGTGAGTAGGCGTGAGAGTTGTTGTCATGATTGATTGAGCTGATAAAGTGGTCAACCATCTTTGAGTAGCATTCATTCACCCAAGTAGTAGTGCCATCTATGATGTCAACTTCACGCATGTCAAGGAAAGTCTTAGATTTGACCTCCAAAAGACCCTCGCTGGTAACGCTGACAATCACGTTTGCTTTTGTTGTACAATTTGAGCACGATTTCAAGCCTTCACCCACATGGACATCATTATTATCACCCAACAACCCTTCCTACATGCCACCTTTATGAGTAATTACCCTTCAATGTTCACTTGGAGAGACCGTACAGATGCATGTTTATGATAGCAGCATAAGTAAACGTTATGGTAGATGTTGTTGGCTATGAGAAGGGATGACAATGTACATATTAAAATAGCGTAGCCAAGGTAGCAATCACTGGTTGAAGCGATGGCATCGTGATAGCTGCAAGAACTTGTAAAAGAATGATGATGGCAGCTGCAGCACCCACTCGTTTCATCAAGTACCCAATACCAATGATGACGATAGCACCTCCCATTGCAACAGCAATATAATTGAAGGTAGTTTTAATGAGTTTCAAAAGTGACATTTCCTTTGAAAGAGAGAAGGAGAGAAGGGAGGAAGAGATTTATGCATGATGATGAGCGTATGCAAGGCATCTCTTTTTAGCATGTTTCAGTGTGAAGGTGATGAAGGCAACACGTGACCTGGGAAACGCGTTGAGCTCATTACATCCTTACAAGGTGAATGAAATCAAGCTTGTAAAAGCCTTGGTTTGTTGGTGGCAAGTTTGCGTGCCATGGTCTTGTTGGTACCTGGGACTTGTCAATGTGACCAAGATCAACACCAAAATCTCCAACAAGCTGTGACGACAACCTTTGCTGAAGATCGATTTTCAATGGGGGTAGTCATAGTCAAACATACGAGTTGACAAGAAGCTGTCGTTGTTTTACATTTGCTGTGACAAGAGAGAAGGGATGATTGATTGGGACACTTAAAAATGGAGACCTTTATCCCAACTTGTCCTAAGCACGTGATGTGGCGCATGGATTCACCACGGAGGCTCGCTACCAACATCCCCTTTTCAATGACAAAGATACATCTCTTTATATACAAGGTCGATCTTAATAGCGATTAATGGTAATGGATTATTATTCAAAGGCATCAATAAATGCTGAAACCAAGCTGGGAAGTGTATCTACATATTAAGCATGCGTCTCCCTCCTTGCCAATGGTACCCGAATAGCTCTTTGAAGCTTTTGATGATGAATCTACATATCATGAACGAGTGAGGATATATAGCTAACGCTAGCAGCATGATCCAATTCACATACTTTGAAATGAAAAGGCGCTTCACAGTATCCTGGGAATCTTTGGTACGATTTGCTGGCGTATGCTGTCAACATAATGCTGATCATGTTTCTTCACTGTCAAAAGCTCCCCCGTGTATCCTAATATCCAAATCCGTTATCCAGTTGTTTCGATCCACAATATTAGCCACCAATTACCTGCCTACTCCATGGATAACACTTTATGTCTTCACAACGTTCATCATCTTTCAACGGCAAAGGAAAAATGCATTGGAGGATGTAAGAATTTACCCGCACATTCTTGTTTGGATTAACAATTGCCACCAATTACCGGAAGCCGTTGCATCACTTCCATGCGGGCTGGAGCACTGTAACGTTTGTTTTTCTGATAGCCTCTCTTGTTCACGTCGAGCGATCTTTTTGCCTTCCATCCTAAGACTGTATCCTGTTCTTGTCTACGAACGATGTACTAAACCAAGTTTGCACATCCATTTCAGGGTGTAGCTACATCAAAAGGAGTGTGGGTTTGTGCTTCATCAAGCAAGATGATTACTCTTACCTTATCAGAAGAGCCAGATCATAATGACAACAATCACAAAGAAGGAATAACAATGAAAGGCTAAAGATCTTCACACATATGAGTACATGGATCACTCACAAGTAAGACTCCCGCCATGATACTCACCAAGGACTTTTAAAAGTACCATCAATCAAAGAGTGATATGATGGAAGAGAAAAGAGGTGTGTGGTAGTGGGCGACAACATCCTTGCTTATATGTGCATGATGGGCGTGGGTATTTTCGTGTTCCAGATGAATGATAAAATGCTTGATGCGAATAGATAGATTGTTGGGGCGCCTGCACAAACGGCCTTGGTGTGATCGAATGTTCATGTATAAATCAGGATTAGAGATAAATAAGCTGGCAATTATATAGTTGACGGTAGTCTCAATGAATTCAAAAAGTGACATTTCCTTTGGAAGAGAAGGATTTATGCATGATGATGGTGTATGCAAGGTCTCTCTTTTTAGCGTGTTTCGGTTTGACAGATTGAGTGGATTCATGATGGATGAATGTAGCACGTGACCTGGGGACGTATCTGCAGGTATAAAACATACATATCGATGGCTCTGCGTGTGCATTATGTGTATGCGTGTGTGTGTGTGCAGGGATCCAACGCACATTAAAAAAGACCCGCTCTTTTTGATTCCCTCCCTTCTCTCATAAATTTTCATTCATGCCTCCAAAGGAACTCACGCCGCATCAAGTATCCAAAGGCTTATCCTATGTGCACAAGGAAGCACCATTCCTAGCAAGACTCAAGAGTGAACGTCAAGGAGAAGTCAAAATACAAGCCCGATTCCAAGATTATGAAGATGGACAAGACGATGAGGACTACGATGAACTCGAAGGCGCACAGATCGTCACCTTGGATAAGCACGGCAAAGGTAAATGGGAGGCAGGGGGGGAGACAAGTGATAGATAAGGGGAAGTGCTTATATGGTTGCCATGGATACACGTAACAGAGGTACACGAGAATGAATCCAAGGAGGAAGACGATGACAACAATGAAACCAAGACAAGTGACAATGAACGAGAAGATAAGCCAGCTGTGGATGAAAATGGAAGGATATTGTTTCGTGCAAAGAAGCGCAAGGCGGCTTCCTCCAAGGATGATGAAAAGGACGAGACCACCAAAGAATCTAGTAGTAGTAGTTCTAGTGCCAAGAAGCCTAAGAAGAAAAAATCGAAAAAAGTCATCAAACTTTCATTTGACGGGGACGAGGACGAATAAAAGAGCGCGTTTTCTACCAATGTAGTAGCGTATCGATTTGGTTGGGATCGACCTAACACAGAGCAATGCCAAATTTAGCTATTTTGTGTCTCAGTCGCATACTGCTGCTGCTTTATTAAACACACTTGGCTTATCATCTCGTTTCTTTCTCTCTCCCTCCTTCGCTCTCTTTCACACACACATCCCACCCACCCCCCTTTGTCCCTTATTTTCAATGGCCCCTTCTTCTTGTGTTTCTCCTGCTCCTCCTCCTCCACCAGCTCCTAGTTTTCAGCGTAACCTTGTCATTCCTTCAACCAAGATGACTTTTACTCACACCAACACCTCATGTGCAAACGACATGTTGCTCGCCATGCCCAAACCACAGTTCAAGGGCACCCATTCCACGCCTTTGATACCCATACGACCTTGTTCACAACCCGAGAGATCGCATTCACACACCACTCGATCTGTATCAGCCGAGCCAACGAGAAAGCAGGAACAATTATCAGCCTCCAGCTTCTCCAAGATCCGATTACTAGGCAAGGGTGATGTGGGGAAGGTTTACCTTGTCAAGCAAAAGGATAGTGGCAGCTTGTATGCACTCAAAGGTAAGTAAGCATGAACATCAATCGTCTTTTCTTGGGATCATCATTATAATAACTCATATAAATGATGATGTTGTTGTATATAGTCTTATCAAAAAAGGAAATGATCAGGCGAAACAAGATCAAACGTGCTTATGCTGAGCAGACCATTTTGGCATCCGTCAACCATCCTTTCATTGTACCATTGTATCATTCATTTCAAAGCAAAAACTACCTCTACTTGGCTATGGAGTTTTGTGTTGGAGGCGAGTTCTTTCGAGGTGAGTGATTATTGCTAATGTTATTATTGTCCTTGTGCAACAACGCATCTCACAAGAATCATTTCGCGGTCTTTTTATATAGCATTACAGCGGAGACCAGGAAGAGTCTTGATGGAGAATGACGCACGGTTCTATGCAGCGGAGGTCGTTGCTGCCCTCGAATACCTACACTTGTGCGGAATCGTATTTCGAGATCTCAAACCTGAAAGTAAGTCAATGGAAAAGACAATAGAAAGAAAAAGGTATTGACAAACCTTGATGTATGTTTAGATATCCTATTGCATGAATCAGGTCATCTCATGTTATCTGATTTTGATCTTTCAATACAATCACCATCGGCTGGTGCACCCTCCATCGTACGAACCAATCTTCCCTTCTCGGTATGACGACAACAATTGTGATGATGATGATAGCGGTATAATGACAACTCATTCTTGTCAATAGCGACCCATGTTAGATACCAAGTCTTGTGCTAATTTACGGACCAATTCCTTTGTGGGCACAGAAGGTACATAAAATGACAGGTCTAGAGCTGACACATGATCAGTAAGCTAACTTTATATGTACGTAGAGTATTTGGCACCTGAAGTGATTCGTGGTGATGGCCATTCTAGTACCGTGGATTGGTGGGCATTGGGTATCTTCATTTATGAAATGCTGGTAAGTAGAGCGATTAGGGAGGGGAAGGGCGCCACCACTCAACAACATGATCATTATGCTAACGATAACGATAATAGTATGGCTTCACCCCTTTCAAAGGCACATCACGTGACGAGACATTCGACTTGATCATTACACAATCACTCGACTTCCCCGATTTTTCCAACAATGTATACTACAGCGGACCATCCAGTACAGCAAGGTCACTTGTTCGTAAGCTCTTGCACAAAGATGAGACGAAACGGCTTGGATCTAAGGCTGGAGCGAGTGAAGTCAAATCACATGCATTCTTCAAACCCATCAACTTTGCATTATTACGGAACATGAAGCCACCTATTATACCAGCCAAATCCAATAATGCCATTGATGCTGTCAACTTTAAGCATGTCAAGGAAAGCCTTAGTTTTGATCTTCAAAAGAGTCTCGCTGCTCCACCATCTCCCCCTGCGACCGATGATGACGAGGACCCATTCGCTGATTTTGGATCAGGTAATATCATTGTGGGAGAACATCATGTATCGATAAATTTGACTAATGGAAATCTATACTTTATAGCTATCCTGCATCACGACATTGTAGAATCACCTTAATTATGTTATTTATACATTCCTGCCTGTGCAACCTAATATAATATATACCGCTGCCATGCGATGTTGAAAAGTACGGGGATTGGGTAATAGTCGGATGTCCAATACGTATAAGATACCATTGTAAAAAGAATAAATATAGCAAGTTTTGTGTGATGAAAGACGCATGTTGGTTTCTATTAAAGTTGAGTTTCCCATCCTGTGTTCTCGATATAGACAACCAATGGACGTGTAGTGCTGATAATGCTGTATGTCAACGCAAGAGTCAATTGTCCATCATATGCATAGAAGTTCTTTTTGGATAACGGATCCTGTTGCCGTTGTTTAACGCTTTTATTGGTGAGTCTCAAAACATGTTCACTATTATTCAGTCTTTTGCGATACTAGATATGTAGCTATGATTGCTCATCCAAAGGGGTATTGGTAGTAGTGGTGGTGGTGGTAGGAGTAATAGGAGTATCGGTAGGTGTAGAATCACTATTGCTTTGGGTGCTTTCTTCTTCAATAATAGGAGCTGGTTTGGTATTGGATGGGTTGGTGGTAGTAGTAGTAGCATTACCACCACCAGCAGCGGCAGCAGCGGCAGCATTCTTGTAATCCACGCCCTAGAATTCAACCCTGGATGAGTATATACAACATTGCTATACAATAGCATCCATTACTTACGTTTTCATCACAATGACGCATGACGTTTTCAAACACCTTGAGTAGTTTTCGTCGAGCACCCAAAGTATTGACACCAGCACGGAGCATATCTTCATCGGTCATTTGAACGACTTGTTGCCACACGAGGCCATCAAATGCAGGGCTGTACTTGTGTAAGCGTAGACTGCGTAACCAATTGGTGACATCCTTCATCAATTCAAAGTCGACTGTTTCTGCTGCAATCTTATCCTTGAGAGCACGAGCTGCTGAGGATCGTTTTCGACGACGAGCTGCACCGGTTAATGGTTGTTCACCTTTGTTGCTCATATCACTATGATCACTTAGATAATCGTTGCCAGGATTATTGCCATCATCACTTGGTGGAACCAAGAATTGACCAAAATGTTGCTGTTGTTGTTGTTGCTGTTGCTTCTTTTCAAGACCTGGTGGTGGTGCTGGTGATGATGATGGGGTAGTCATTCGTGGGCTGCTATTGGCACTATTACCAATGATAGGCTCTGTAGATTTGGTGGTGGCAGCTACAGGTGCTGGTGAGGGTGGTGTTGCAAGAACTGCTGAAGGTGATTGTTGTTGCTGTTGGGATGATGATGTAACATGGAGACTAGGTTGATGATGTTGATGATGATGATGATTGTTGTTATGTCGTGAAGACGCGGCTGCTGCGGCTGCTGCTTTGGAGGCTCTCAAACGGGCTTGTGCTTGCTCAAGAGCAGCCATGCTACTCAACATGGAATGATGTTGTTCTTCATGATCTTCTCGAATGGTATCACTCTTGCGAGATGACCATTTCTTGCTGCTTGACAAGGAACCAAAGGACCATTCACTGTTGCCATCGTTACTTGCATTTCCACCTCCTCCATTTCTTCCACCACCACCAGCACTACCACCGCTGCTACCACTGCCATTGCTATTTCGATCACGTGCAAGATGAAAAGGCCAATCACTCGATGCAGCACCAAAGAGAGATGTGCGTTCTGAAGTTGAAGTGCGAGGAGAAAATGTGGATGATGCAGTGGTGGATGATGTTGTCGATGATGCTGAATTCGAAGAAGCGGCAGCAGCAGCAGCAGCAGCAGCACGATTGGCAGCTTGGATCTGAGCACGCGCAGCCAAAGCCTTTTCATACAAGAGACCTTGTTGACTGAGATTGCTTCCAAGAGAAGTTGGTACTAACAAGTCTCTTCGTCGGAGATCGTCAGGCTCACTCAACGCTGAAGTAAGTCGGTTGCACAAATTAGAACGAGTGCCTCTTCGGCTGGGTGGATACATTTGTCGCTTCCGCATCTCATATTGTGATTCAGTTGATACAACGGATCCTGCCACAGCAACGGGTGCAGGGCCTATCATCCATTCATATAAGTGAAAAGGCTCCTCATCATCCTTGTCATCATAAAAAAACATACCTTTATCCTGGCCAGCAGGGGAGAGAACATCACCAAGGGGATCGGCTCGTTGTTGTAAGACAGTAATCAAGAACCGGATTTGTATTTGAGATGCATTTTGCACGAGGGTATACAACGCTGCTGTACGTTCGGGATCCGAGCGGCACAAGAACCACTGGTTGACATGTTCAAGTTCATCCTTAAAGTCTTGGTCTAAACTTGCTGCTGCTGCTTCATCCATCATCTTCTCATAACGTTGGATATCTTCATACATCTTATCAATGGCTTCGGCTACACACACATTGTATTAGTCTTCTTGCTTCCTTCCTTCTTACATGTAACAACAACAACAACAACCCCCATTCTCCTTTATTTCCCCTGACGACTCACCTTCGGTTGTATGTCCTCGAAAGCCGTGGTGAGCTGCCCTATACATATCAGAGTTGGGCCGATTGCTGCGTTGATGTCTTGACGACATTGTAATAAGGTCGGAAGCTGACATTGCTGAGGGATACCCATTGCCAGTGGACCGAGGTCCCAAAATACTCGACGACTGTAGAGGATTGTGTCGATGGTGAAATGTGTTGAATAGATTCTCTTCCATGGCGCGATGCACGTCGTGTGTTGTCATATGTGTATGGCTGTGTGAGTGTGTATATGTGTGTGTGTGTTGGAGTATGTGTTATGTGGGATGGGCGGTGAGTAAAAAAATAAAGGGGAAAAAAGTGAAAGAGAGAAGAAAGAGAGAGAGAGCGTGTGTGTGAAAGAGACAAAAGACAAATGGAAGGAGAAAGAGGTAAAAAACAAAAGGGAGTGAGTGGGATGCGCTTATTATTGCCGAATACCACGAGCAGTAGGGATCGGCAACTGCTTGTCAGACGTGGAAAGTAAGAGAGAGAGAGAAAAACACACAAAAAGAAGAGAGAAAAGCAATGGAGATTGTCACGGACCTTTTGTGTTGCTTCTAATATGCTGCCCTTCAAGGTGCGTGTGTGTGTTGCTCTCTCACACACTCACACACACACTCACACACATTCTCCTCCAACAAGGAGACCGGTTACTCAAGAAATGGACCCGTCAATCAGGGGTGTGTGTGTGTGTCTCTGTATTCTTCATTACTTGAATGCTCTCTTTGTTATGTGTCATCGATGTTAAGGAGAAAGAATCCGCAACAGAGAACAAGCCTAGGATGGGAAATTAGGTTCACTGTCGTGACACCATTGAAAGCAGATCACCACGTTGGTCTATGGATACTTTTGATTCCCTTACTGCTTCATCTTGCAGTAAAAGATACCTAATTCATCCAACCACGCTTGTCGTTGCCTTGATCTCTCATCCCTTGCTTTAGGAGGTTGTAAAAACATAGCCATAAGCACACGCATGTTCATGCCTTGCCACAATGTTGTCGTCCATATCCATTTTTACCATATCCAGATGCATGTGTAACCCTGTGCAACCCATCAGCAAGTCAGGCCCACCTTTATGTTGAAGTCTGTTTTATAATTAGATTGTGCTCCAGCATACGCACTATGTCTGTGCATAATAAAACTTGTAAATGAGAAGCCGATTGTGAAAAATGACAAGGTTCAGCTATCATTCACGTAAAATAAATGGGCCACATTGGATCTCACGCTCATGCTTTCAATTTGTTTCACGCTGGCGATCGTGTTACGCTTCCACAGAAGATCGGCCATATCGTGCCCATATTGGGCGTCTTTTCATCATTACACTGCATATAAAGCTCTTGCACAGAATCCATTGGTGTCGCTTTTGATGTCATTGGTCATTCATGATAAGCATTGTAATAGCAACCAACATTGAGCAGTGCTGTTTAACCATAACAATGGTGGATGAAATATACAAATGTGCACGTATCTTGGTCCGTAGTTGCTGTAATTAGGATCGAGACATACGTATACATATTGTTGGGTAATAAAGGTCATAAGATGATGGCAGTTGTGGTGTTAAAAAAAAGGTGTCCCGTGCGAGTGCTGATAAAAAGACCGTGCACAATGCAGGGTAAAAGGGTTGTCTTCCCTTGGTCTACTTGTCATCCTTGCATCATTTCCAACGACACAATACCGAATCGATGCTCCTCACACAATGCTGTTGAAGATGACCTTTTTGTGTTGCTGCGACTCGTCGTGGCTGACTGATCCCCTCATCCCCCAACGTTGTCGATCTTTCCATATTCGGTCAAAGAGCCGTCATCTAGAATTCTTCTTGACACACTCCATCTTATGTATCGCGTTATGGGGTTGCATCAACGTACATCAACGCGCATGACCTATGTATCGTATTCACATTTTCCTAGTTGGGAAGGTAGTTTGTTGTGGATGGATGGGTAATCTTTTCTTTCAGCCTGTTATCTGACACCGAATGCACATCACGATCAAGATCAATGCCAAACAGCACCTGTTATAATTATTTCTTGATAACAATTACAGGGACAAGGGTATCCCCTCGCTTTTGTATGCTATCAACAATCAAACATGCATATACACAAACAAATGTAACGTTTGTTGATTTGGCACACCGACATGCACATCTCTTGGTTTCAAGCAGCTCATTGTATAGCATTTACATTTTCTTGCTATGCATCGTATTAATCCTCTACTTGGGGAATGGCATAGGGTACAAGAGAGCTTGTGAAGGTGGGTGATTAGACTGAATGGGGTTTCACCTTTTACAAGGGGCCTGTCAAAATGCGCTGATATACGACAGCCATCATGCAATTCATTCCCTTCCTTATTGCTTTTCTCTTCATGGCAACCGTACAAGCACAGCAACAACAACAACAACAATCGCAACATGGATTAAAGCATATGCCCAAGGGCATGCTGGTATCCATGGCAGCCAACAAGGCATTACCCACTGTTGAAGATCGTGACGAGAATGCTCCTCCGCCCAATGAGGCTCAAGAAATGCAAAGCAACCGTCAACAACAAGGATCCTCTAAAGCACTCGTTCCACAGCATCAAAAGAAAGATTTGCAACCTCCAGTGTTCGCTTCTCAACCAAGAAACTCATTGATCAGCCTATCCGCTCGTCGACAGGGAACCACCGTATCACGTCAAGTGCATCGTCAGCAAGGCCAGGGTATCGATCCTGTTGATATGATTTGTAATCGCTTGTTGGCATGGCGACTCGCACTCAAGAATTTGGTACGTATCCCCATTGATACAATGTAGGTTTAAAGTATTCACCTTTATGGCATAGATTGCTCTCATGGAAGATTTTCGTGATGTTGAACGTAAAGCAGCCAATGGCTATTGCAAAGCAACACGCACCGTGGTTGTTCCTTTCCGAGATGCCACTGGTCAATTCATGGAATCGGGTGGTATCCAAGAAGTATGGAACACATTCCGTGGCTTTTCGATGGATGAAGGTATTCGCCACCAAGACTTTGTCGATTACATTGATCGATCGGTGCTACCTGGTTTGCAAAGTGTGAAGCGTGATGTCAAGGCCATGCTCAAATCCATCATCAAGGATAAACGCCTCCGTAGCACCCACTTGTACCATCGTCGTATGCAAACGGATCAACTCGTCTCCAAGTTGGATTCTATCATTCATGCTGATAGCCAAATGCCTGATACTGCTTATCGCCATCCTGATCCATTGCTTGTCAATTGCGCTGTGTATCAATCTTACAAGGTGATGAACGATGAAGAAAACACGTTGCATGATAACGTGCTCAATTTGCAACGTGAAATGGCTCTCTTTGAACAAGGCATCATTGAAAACTGCCGAGGCATTTGTCAACGTCTACTCGATTTCCGCGTCAACAACAACATGGAAGATGGCAGTGTGTTTGGCAGCGTTATTACGGCATTTAATCAACTTGGCCCAGACACCGAATGGCGTCAATTTTATCGTCGCAACAAGTATCATCTCATCAGCGAAAAGGCGCCTTACAAGAGCGATCAAGACATTCAATATCGTAACCAGCATGATGAGCTTGTTCAACCCATCAAGGTTGGCTTGCTTGAACGTAAGACAGGTGTCATGCGTAATTGGACTGAGGGTCTTTATGTGCTCACCCCTGGTAAGTTGTATATGCATGAATCCATAAAAGCTCTCTTGACTAATTTGGAAAACAACAAAATCATGCAGCTGGCTTCTTGCATGGATACAAGTCCACAGAGCAATTCGATGCCAATCCACAAAACCCCGAAATCTCAATCTTTATCCCACACACCGATCTCGACAATAGCCGCAACTATGACAGCATGTATGAGAACAACTCGTTTGAGGTGCGTGGCCGCAACGTGCATTCGCGTATGAGTATGGAAAAGAGTTACATGTTCCGCACCTACGACGGCAATGATTTGCAAGATTGGTTTACCAAGCTCGTGGAAATGTCGCAGCGGTTTAGACCCATGCACATGTTTGGTGGCGGTTGGGACGAAGAGGAAGAGGAAGAAGAAGGTGGTGGTCAACAAGCGGGTGGTGGTTATGGCCAAAAGCCTCGTGCATTGCCACCCATGCCTGTGGATGATGAAGAATCCGAAGAAGAGGAAGAGGATGATGGATGCCCTACATGGCGTGGTCGTGGTAACGATGGCAACAAGTTTAATAAGGACCAACAACCGATCCGATTTCCTGCTGGTCACCATGGGTTTACTGGAACAGGGGCTGTGGGTGGTGGTAGTAGCAGCGGAGCAAAGTACCAACAAGATGAAGATGATGATAATGAACAAATCCATCCAGCACGCATTGTTCAAGTACCTGCCGACCAAATCCGTATGCAGCTATCCCAAGAAGGATCATCATCTTCAGCAGCAGCACAAAAGCAAACCACCAGTCGACAAGTGCATAATGGCGACACCACTGAAGAAGATGATGACGATGAATGGGATACCATCCCTCAACACGAGCAAGATGATATCTCACCTACCACTAGCTCCCATGGTGGTGGTCCACACGGGTCCCAAGGTAAGTGGAAAAATCTTAGACATCACAACAAAAGATACTCATGATCGTGTTCGTTGTACGTATAGATCTACAAGGGCATTCAAAAAGAGGCTAAATATGATAGTATTTCGCTTTTGAACCTCTTGTTATCCATAGTAATTCTCTACTTTGTAGTATCCATTTTTCAACGTCTTTAATAATATTATTGCTGTTTCACTGATTTTACCAACCAAAGATCCAATCCACCACCATCACCCCTTTCTATGCCATGTCTCTCACCCCAATCCATCATGTAAACTCCAATTGAAATGCTGATATACATTATATATGCTGTATTGAATGGTTGACAAACATTGGAATAGATGACTGATTTATGGCTTTGGAATGCGAAGAGTCTTGCTGACCATGAGAGTACCACTCAATGCATAGATCAAGACCCAAGGATGGAAATCCCAAGTAGGTGCAATTTCGTATAACGGTAATGCGTCCAAGTATTGACCACGAGATACCAAATAGGCAATGATAGCTACGAGCGTAAGGGATGTTGGGATAGGAGTACCTTCAAAGTACTTGATCTTGCCAGATGTGTCCTTGGGTTGCGATGCGACGGTTGCGTTAAATCGGGCAAGTCGTGCAATGCCGCAGCACACAAAATATGTCAAGATGATTGTATCAAGGTATGTACGCATGCCCACTAAGTTGGAGTGATGATGAATCAGTATCACTTATCCCAATCCCATACTATCCATATACACACGAACTTACTTGCAAATGCCAATGCTGCAGGTGCCATGCCAAAAGAGATCTATATACACAACACGAGAGTAAACACCATGATCGAAAACGCATACCATCATTCAATAGTCCCTTACCAGATCAGCCAAACTATCCAATTCTTGTCCCAATAATGACGCGTTATTTCGCCAGCGAGCCACGCGTCCATCCATAAAGTCAAAGAATAAACCAAACGGCATAAAACCCATGGCCGAGTAGAGATCGCCAATCTCGTTCGTCAAAAGGTAGCGCATCGACGAGAACACTGACATGATACCACACACACCATTCATGAGTGTAATGACATCGGCAAGATAAAAGTTGCTGGATACAAGCTGTTAGAGGGAATATAGAGACGCAGCTTCTTGGTTGCTTACCGAATAATAGTAAAGTGAACAGGTCCTTGATCGGCGTTCTTTTGTTGTTGCTGATCAGGTGCATTGGACGAGGTCTGTTGTTTGCGACGATTCATGGTATTAAAAAGAGAAGAGAGAAAAGAGGAACAAGGCAAAAAAGAGAGAGAACGAAGAGAAAACAATAAAGGAGAGAGAGAGATCTTGGTTTGCCGAGAGATGAAAAAAGCCGGGAACTCACGATTTTGATGTCAGTTGCGTAAAGTTGTGGTAGTAGTGTATATATGCTTTTCGTGTGTGGAACCAACCCGTTGCTTTAGAGTTATTCACAACGATCAATACAGGGGGGTGTTTTCGTTTAGTAAAGGATTTATGGGATTCTTTTTTATGATCACAATGATGAGATCTTGGTAAGAGAGATAAGTCTATCTCGGTTATCGGCATCAATCCTTGTTTTGCTATGCGTTGTGTAGAGGTGTGTGTGTACCAGATGTGAGGATATAGATGGGTGCACAAGACACCGGCAGAGCGGGAACAAGAGTATTAGCATGGAACTACTTTTCCGAGCTCCCGACAGCTGCTATAACAAGCTAAAATGTGGCGGTTGGGATGCCAAGCACTAATGCAATTGGATATTTTATCTTGCCAATATTCATTCCAGAAAGCATGTGATTGCATTGTAAGCAATGTGGTGTGTATCCACTTTTTTGTGCAAGGCAAACGACTTTTCGGAATATGCCGACGTGGAGGAGGTGGAAGAGGAGGAAGGGAAGGGAACCTATATAATGCAGGGGTGAAGAAGAATGAAATCTACATGATCCACACCCAAATGGAAGCGTCGTGTTGCTTTCAATGCATCATGTCATCCTCATTATTGGACCCCTTTTTACTGCTAATGGATTCTCGGCTATTCGTATCATAGCAACGATGAAGATGTGTATGGTCTTTTAAAACGCGTATCTATAGGTGGTCATCTGGTAAGCTACGATGATATCATAAGCTCACCACTTTGGGGCTCAACTAAATGTGGCGCAACAAGAATAGCAGAGTGGTCCATTTGCTTCTCCTCAAGTCGACTTGGAATTCGTATGGATCTCGTACATCCAGCGGTTGTTCTTTGTACGTGAAGCGGACCTTCCTTCATTGCTACCATAAATGCTAAGACATCCCAGCCAGCTTACTCGAAATAGTATTGCCGACGTGTGCATCGAATTCAATTCCTCTTTACCTTTCTAACGATTGAAAGCATTAGAGGAATACAAAGATGCGTGATAACTCGTTAATGCTTATCCCCCCTGTGGGCATGTTTATGTTCTTGACAATGGGAGCTAATACGTTGTTCAACTGCACACGAGGCCTAAAAATAGGCAGCGTTTGTTTCAAAAATGTCTCTGGATAAACATTTGCAAGCAAAAGCCATCTTCATCCAAGCCCAAGTACAGAGGCACACAGGCACCCATTTATACATTTGATATACATGGAAAACGAAGCATTGATATAGTACAGATGTACACGATGATGACTGAGTAGCAATCATGATGCTGTTGGATACCAAAAAGTAATATCTATTCTGGGAAGATTGTTTTGTATGGAGGACAAGAAGGCTCAGCCCGCGTTCTTTTCACTTTAAAGATCCACCACATAAAGGGCTGCTTTTACCAGTTGTCTTTTTTCTTTTTTAGACCTTTCTTTATTCTTTTGACTCTTTTTATCCTAATGTTGAAATCGGCATTGGCGCTACTTTTCACGTTGGCTGTTACTACGGCTCCAACCACTTTGGCCTGTGAACCTGAATGTCGCCATGGTGTTGCTGCTGCTTTTGCCGAGCAGTATGTTCCTGTGGTCAAAGTGGCTGTGAACGACTTGTCCAATACATTTGCTTCGACTCTATTCAATGCCAACGCAACCCTTCCAAACCATGTGGCTGCTGTTGTCCCCGAGCAAACGCTTCGTAGCAGCTTGACAGCAAGTCTCTCCGATACGCTCGACCTCTTTGTCGATGAAGCTACTGGCAAGAAGCTTGAAAGCGGTATTTTCTCAGTCATGTTTTCCGAAGAAGATCCTTTCAAAGGCGATTGCAATGCTCCTCCAAGACGCTTAACACGTAATATGCCACCTCCCGGTGAAAGTTGGACTCGTGAAGAATGTAAGTATACATGTGTGTTATACAAGATGGCGGTTATACTCATCATCCCATTTTATGATAAAGGCGAGAAAATGGATTACATCTGTGGTAATCCTCCTTCCATTTGCTACCATTTGTCCCTCGTCAAGGAACGTATCGTGAAGCGCATTCGCTCGCAGCTTGAAGACTACGCCACCTTTGATAATGGTTTCCTTGTGCGTAACGTGGTGCAAACAGTCAAGCAAACAACCGAAGGTGTCTTGTCTCATTATGGTGCTGGTTCCATGGTCAAGGATCCCAGTGTCACCACCTACGTCAATGCATTGATTAGCAACGCTATCCAGTCACTCGATGTTTGGGCTACAGTGCACGTCAAGCAATTGTGCGACCGAGATTCGGATAACCAAGCATGCAATGGTTGGGACGAACAAATCATCCCCGAAATTCTCAAGTGGCCTTAAAGAGAGAGATCTCTCCCACACACACACACACACACACAAACTCTGCATCCACAACCCATTTTAATCTCCCATCGTACACACACACCTATATATAACACTACACGCATCTTAGTTGCCCCCATCCACATTCCTTCATACTGCATCCCTCTTTTGTATAAACACAGCAATACAATGTATAGTAAAGACATCCTGAATTGCATAACCTTGACACAAAGAATTAGCCCATCATGGGGAGAATGGACCTTGTGGCCCATCTTGTCGACTTTTTATAGCACGGTCATGTGGTAGATCGTGTAACTTGTAGCCAAATACATTGGCAACCAGAGCCATGGAAATACATCGAGCGACAAATAGAAGATGTCGTCATGTGAGCCATGGCTCTTTGTCTCGTACATTCATGGTCTTAGGTTAATGGCCAAACGTGTATAGGATAATCAATTCCCGCCTCCTCCTTATTCAATGTAAGAATCTAGATCCTGAAAAACGCTACAAACACATCATTTGAAAGACAACTCCTTATATACAAAAAAAGACGACATGGAACAATGTTATGATTGATATTCAGGTATACACAGTCGTGCTTAAATACTTTAAAACTAACTTTTCTTTTAAACAAAATATACTGCATTCAGTCTTTTCTCTATTGCACTTCCACAGATGATGTCCGCTGCTGTTTGGTAGGCCGTTCCTCATTCGAATCCATCGAGTGACCATTGGGATCATTGTTTTGTTGTTGTGCTTCTCCCTCTACTTGCTGCTGCTGCTGCTGCTCCTTTTCTTCATTCTCTGCTTCCTCCCTCCGTCGTTTGGCATCTCGCTCAGCTGTGCGTTCCTGAAGTTTACGCTTCAATTGCATAAGCAGCGTTTCACCATAACGAGCACGCTGTTCTGTAATTTTCTTGTCATAGGAAAGTGATGTAGCGTTATCGGTTTCATTGTTGATGAGAGAGCGGAAGATCTGTTGACTGGATTCGACCTTGGAGATACCCTGTTCAATTAATTCGGGTGCTGCAGCTGGCATGTCGTTCAACAACTCGCCATAGGATTGCTGTGTAAGGGCCAAATCATACAAAGTCGACTTGCTATCAGGGTTGATGTCATGTGCTTTTTGAGTTGCTTCAATAGCTCGTCCTGCATAATCAAGATCACGTGATGCTTTGGCACCAAGGAAAAGTGCTCGTCCCAAACATAATAACAAATTCTCATCCTTGTTGTCCTTGGGATACAATCGATTGGCATGCGAGTACTACCACCACCAACATCATAAGTGAGTGACCCATTTAAAAATAGGAATGGGGGGGGGAATGTATCGCTTACCATAGCAATTGCTTCACGATACCGCTTCAACTCAACAAGCGTGTGGCCACAGTTGATCAACACAGATGGCTCTTCCGATGTTGACTCACGTAAAAGATTGAACAAATAATGTGCACCATCCATATCACCGCTATCAGCCATCAGCATGGCAATACCATTTGCTGCATAAGCGCACTTGGGGTCACGTCGGAGTGCTTGGCTGAAAAAGCTGAATGCGAGCTTGTACGACTCTTGACGCTGTAAACAAAAGTCCCCATGGGTAAGTTTAACCGCGCTACCATAGCGACGTTATCACACTTACATGTTGCTTATACTTGTCACCCTTGAGTTCTCTTGCCACAGTTGCATGATAATTGCCAAGAGCCACATGTGCATAAACATTGTCTCGATCACACTCGCGTAATACCCGTTCCAGTGCCCGTTTGCATGTCTTTTCATTGCGTGTAATCTCAGCACGAGCAATCATGATCCAAGGTGCAGGATTCTTTGGCTGACTTTCGGCAACAGCGTTGAAATGTGCCACAGCTTCATCAGTATGTCCCAATGCTTGCTCGATAGCGCCCAATCGTAACCGTGCTATCCACCAAATAATGGATCAATATCCATATTCCAGGGCCACACATACCATTCACACACACTCACCTTCATAATAATCAGGGCATTCATCAACAATCTTTGTGTAAAGCTCCTTTGCTTGATCAAGCTCTCCTCTTTCTTCATGCACGCGCCCAAGGTTGAAGGAGACTGTAACACTGATGTCATCTTCTGGTGCCTTTTCTTGGCCATCATGCTGTTGTTGGTACGCTTCCAATGCACGCTTGTAATGATCGGCTGCCTTTTCCAGATCTCCACTCAACATGTATAATGTGCCAAGATTATTCAGTACTTCCACCTTGATGGCATCCATCTGAGCAGCTTCCTTGTCATCAGCTTCTGGATCATCCCTCCGTTTGATAGACATTTCATAATCTAATGACGTTCCACATATCAGGATATGAAGATCGACGACCGTTGCCTTACTTACATTCAAGTGCTTTGCCAATGTTGGTATCCTCATGTAAATTGCCGACTTGAGCAGCAAAAATAGAGTTTTGAGTTGCATAATCAACAATGCCATTGAACACCGAGAGTGCTTGCTTATTCTTGCCAGCCATGGCATATGCGGCACCCAATGTCTAAATCAATGGTTAGCTTAGATCTCATATATAGATCCCACACATCATCACTTACTCTTGAAATATCATCACTCAGAATATACGTCTTTTGTAGCTTTTCAAACACCTTGATAGCATCATCAACGTTGCCTAGAACCACGTATTCGTAAATCAGCGACCATGTATGGAATCTTTATGCTTCGTCTTACCATTGTGCATATGTATTTGACCCATGTGGTACTGTGCCAATCCATAGTTGGGCTCAATAGCGAGACATTGTTGGTAGAAAATCTTGGCATCTTCAAAGTTGCCCTGGAAAAAAGTTTGAGTGCCTCATTCTCATACACGTTGAGAGCCTATTTACCAATACATGATATGCTCTGGCGATTTGGAACAATGCTTCGGATTTGATGAACTTGTTGTTTGTGTATTCCAATGCTTCCTTTGCATACTCCATGCTCTACGTTCCCATAAGCGTCAATACCATCATCCAACCCACCTACTTTCTTTTGACAATCCTTACCTTTTCAGGATGGCCCATATTGTGACAATGGTTAGCAACCAGATTCAGAACAACGGGATGGTAACGTTCAGCCTTGAATGCATCCTGTAATTGCCGAAGACCACTTGCTAGTGCCTTTTCACGGGTTGCAGCATCAGCCAAGATATCCTTTGAAATGTTGAGATCGATAATGGCCATGAGAGCGAGGCATGTTGCTTTGTTGATAGATCCCTATATGACTATCATGTTAGACACCCCTTTCATCCATCCTATTCTATCCTCTTGTGTATCCTACCTGTTGCATGCAACGTTTGAGAGCATCCTTGGCTTGTTGAGACATGCCCAGATGTGCAAAGCATTGTGCGATGGTGAGTTTGATCTCTGCAGCAGCGATAGGTGGTGGTGATAATTGAAGAGCCTTTTGGAACTGAGCAAGCGCTTCACGATAATGACCATGAACATATTGGATCTTTGCCAAACCGGTGCGTGCGGGGATGCAATCATGCTGCTTATCCAAAAGATGCGTAAAGATGGATCGTGCTTGGTCAACGCGCCCTGATGTAAGATAAATGTTGGCTTTCACAATCGCTGTTGGTACATGTTGAGCGTGAATACGATCGGCTTCTTGAATAAGGCGGTTGGCTGTATCGAGATGGTGTCGTCTATCATCACTCGCACGGCTTGCTTTGACTAACGCAAGATGCATTGTTGCACAGAGTGTAAGAATCGGTAGTTTCTCGCGAGGTTGCGTCGTCAAGGTACGATTGGCTATGTCATGTAAAGTATGAGCTTACTATCACCATTGAAGGTTCGATCCGGCCACATTTACCATTTTCAAGACACGCATCGAGCACCTGGATGGCTTGCTTCACTCTGGATTGTTGATAGTATTCAATCTGTGTAAAATAAAAGGAAATTCAGTTGAAAGCGTAACGTAATGGTCGCGTAGTGTTGGATTGATGCTTTACAGCAAGTGTGCAGTAGTGGGAAAAGGCAACGCTCTCTTGTTCAAAGATGTTGGTAAGCTCACTGGGATCGCTCGGAAGATCACTGCAGATGACTTCAAGCACTTGCTCATGCTTCAATGGGATTTCGAGCGTGCGTTGTGCCATCGAGGTGTACGTGCGTGTGTGGGTGTGTGTGGGTGGATGTGGGTGCGAAATGAGACGTGTGGAGTTGAAGTAAGGTAACAAAGAGGTTGTTGCTGCTGCTGCTTGTTTCAATTGACTTGCCACACTCAGCCCTTAGATCGGGTATTGGTTGGTTATCTCCCCCTCCACACCCTGCAAGTCACGAGTGATGCTGATGCGTTAATGCGTGATGGTTCCATGTGTGTGATTCAATATCATTTATAGCCATGTTGATATGCACAATTCGAATAGTAGTAGTACTAGTTGCCTCTTTGCTAAAAGTGCAGTAGCTTGATTAGAAACAAATAAAGGTTACATCTTCTAGTATTGGATCCAGAAAACAAATTCATATGTATACAACTATGCTATCTTTATAAAAGGGAAGGGTAGAAAGATTTGGTATAAGTTCCTGGGAGGGATTGCATGAAGGCTATACTAAAGCTAACGTTTTTCAACGAAGAGCTTCATTCCATTTCGCATAGGCATAGTCAAGCTCACTTTGTAAGTGATCTCCTGGTTAGGGACAAGCGTGAATTTGTATCGCTTCAGCAACAAAACAATGGCAACGAGTGCTTCGAGGGTTGCTAAGTTTTGGCCTGAGACAAAGGAAAAGGATGTTTAGCGATGGTATGAGAGATGTAGCCACAACTTACCAAGACACACCCGAGGCCCAACATGGAAGGCTGGGAATTGACCTTGGGATTCACGACGCAGCTCACCGTCAGGTGTGATCCATCGCTCTGGTTTGAATTCTTTGGCATCAGGACCCCATACTTTGGTTGACCTACCCAAAGCATAGGTGCTCCAAACGATTGTATCTCCTTTTTTGACATGTGTGCCATCGGGCCATACGTCGTCCTCGAGAGCCACTTTGGTATTCACAGGCACGGATGGATACAAACGCAGCACCTCGTAGAACCTAAAACAAAGCAAAAAGATAAGCAAACAAATTACAATGCATGGCCATCGCATGACAACATGCTTACACTGCATGTGCATAGGTCATTTTCTTGATAGCTTCATAGAGCGCAGGAGAATCTTGCTCATGTTCATCACGAATACAAGCATGAATTTCTTCAACAAGCTTAGCTTCAATGCGTGGATGCAACATTAGGTTGTAAAAAGTCCATGACAATGCTTGAGCCGTTGTATCACGTCCAGCAATGATGAAGTTGAGAACCGTGTCACGAAGTTCGCTGTCGCTTAATGGCTCGCCGTGCTCGTTTTGCGTGCTCATGAAACGTGATAATAAATCTTTGAATTCTTCACCATTGGCCAATTGTTGACGACGTTCAGTAATAATGCTATAGGCGAATTCGTTGACGATGTTGAGATGATCCCGAATTGTCTTTTTGCCCGGTGTAATTGCACGTATGGCTTCGGCCACAGGGATGAATGGGTTGATGAATCGATCAAAGCAATCTGCTTGGCAAATGTCGAAGCTCTCTGCGAATGGGACTTTGCCACGGTTGGACAATGAATCAAGTTGTTTCCCAAAACCAAGTCTATTAATATATGAGCACATCAACCATCACGTGATATTGATCAAGCTGATAAAATGACTTACAGGACAAAAGAATCCAAAGTAAACTTAAACATGACATCGTGAAAGTCAACGGGTCGATGATTGGAAGCCTTTTTGTCAAAGATGTTGTCACACATTGCATGCAATTCCTTAACAAACACACTAGACAGCGTAAAACAGTGAGCATGATGAGTAGTAACAGGATCATCATCATCAGCCTTACTCTGTAAAATGGTCTCGGAAATTGGCTACTGAGAAAATATGGCTGGCTGTTTTTCGTTGCCACCGCCATCCTTCTCCATTGCTGACAAAAATGCCTTTGCCAAAGAGGTGACCCATAGCGTGACTATAGAAGATCAATGATTAATTGATTCCTTGGTTATACAAGGTGATACCATGTCATTCATTGTTAGTTTGATGTACTTACAGTACTCGTGTTCCTTTGACGTAGTTCTCAAAGTGCGCTATCATGCAAAAGTGTGAATGATTGTTAGATCAGCCTTTAGTGAAACCTCGCTTCAAATGATTACTTTTCAAAAAGTACTCGATGTTAGAGGGATCAATGGTGCAAATAACAGGAGGAAGGGCTAAATTGGTGGCACCACTATGCATGCATATGTGTTTGTTGAATGATAGATTACACGAGATGTAGGTATGAACATCAACAAAAACTTACAAGGTCAAAGTATCCAATTCCTCAAATTTGCTGACCTGGTTGTCGTATGCCGTGTCTTTACCCATAATATTGCGAAAGAGACTTCCAACAAGAGGATCTCCTTTGGCAAATGCAATCCCTTCACGTCGTTCTCGGAAGATAGCACGATCATTGTATTTCAATGCCAAAAGACCCAAAGCTGTGGCTGCTGTGGCTGTAGCAAGTCTACCGATATCGGAGGCGTTGATGTTGCTGTTGCTTAAAAGCGAGGACATGTCCACCGAGCGTTACGTGGAATCCAAAATGTGGAAAAGTGAAGGAAAGTGTGAAGAAAAAGAAAGCTGACGAGAATGGTATTTCTAATCCACGCGCGCTTCTCCGCACTCTTTTGTTGCCCGGTTGAATCAATGGTCCGCAAGTGAATGGTACTTGGCGTTACACACATCAACACTCCTCAATCGCGTTTAGATAATTTATCATTATGTCAACAAGAGCACATGATATTGCCACCCTTGGTAAACGGTACTTTATCGGCATTCGGCACCGATAGGCTTATACACACATGCCAGCATTCAATGCTAATGGTCTCAACTTGGCACAATAAGAATCTTAGTCGTATGTTTATGTAGAATGTGGGGATGTGTACTGAATCCTCTGATAACAATGGCCATCTTAAATGGTAGATCAACACGAGATACCTCACATAGTCATTACTCAATCTTCATTTGTAAAATGTGATCATCCTACGACTACAAAATCTAATCTTGTTCCATGGCATCATCATTGTTTCGGTCTTGGTCCTTGCGTCCAGTGCTTTGATCAATAGCCCGAAGGAAAGATTCCACATCTACAGGTACGCATAATAGTGTTATTGGCTAGTCGCATTTCCAAGGTAGTTGTTAACTTACTGCCACCAGACATTGCTGGTAAACCCAATTGTTGCAACAAAGGACCAAGATCACCCGATTCAAAAGCATGGCTTAAGGTTGCAGCAGCTTGCTGGAATTGAGGACTTCTCACGACTTGTCGCACTTCTTCAGGTGATTTTTCACAGTTTTCAGGTAAATGAGAATAAAGCTGAACGCAAACTTCGGGGTCGTCGAGTAATCGATTGAGTGCTTCTGGTGTTAAGACGTCGTTCAGAGACAATGGTGGACTTCGACTCTCTACAATGAATGAATGAATGAATGAATGAGTCCTATAATCCCATCAACAACATGATAAATGACAACTCACGTGATCCTTGTGCATTTCTCAACAAGTCTCTTAATTGATTCATTGCTTGTGGATTCACGCCTTCTTGAGTCTGCTGTTGTTGTTGTTGCCGTTCTTCGGTAGTCGATTGCTCCGTCTCTTGTGCATTTGCCATAGGTGTATCTTCTTGATGTTCCTCATGTGTATCCTCATCATTGGGTGCAGATGAATCTGTGGCGCCTCTATAATAATGAAAACATCAATACATTGATATTGGCAATCCCCCCAAAAAGGTCACCCTACCCAAGGCCTCCTGCATTTTGTAAGAACTGAAGAATGTTCTCGCGTGAGATACGATCTATATAGCCATTGTGAGATAATCCTGTCATATGAACCATGCGCCGTCTATGCATGTATGTATGTATGTACCTGAGCCACCGAGCAATTGCATCATGTCAGCCGATGCGTCACCCATATCCATGCCAGACATATCATCCGTGGCTGTAGCTGCTTCAGGATCATTGATCAAGTGGTTGACACGGCTAATGACTTCTTCATCCTTCTCATCGCTCTTGTTTTGCATCCAGAAAAAGAGCTTTTGATTCGACGACTTGAACTTGAGAAGATACACACGGCCGGTAGTACATTGCTCCACACGAATCATCTCGGCTTCATCAGGGAAAATGATCAAATCCTATAGACATGTAAGCCTGCCATCCAATGTAGTATCCAAGCTTCCCCCCCCTAGATACCTCTTCAGGTTCCGTTGCCTTCCGTTCTTTCCAATAAAAGTGCATAAGCTGATCATCGCTCTATATACCCCATGAGTTAGCTGATCCAAGTCACTGAAAAGCATGCGAGTCAGATCGTACTTGATCCATGTACACCACGCTATGAGAGCAAGCAATGCAGTGTTAGCATGGATGACGCGTTCCTTTTGGGTTGTCTATTCGTACCCTTTACGCAAGTCAGGCTTTATGGTGTTGCCTTCTCGGATGCATTTGCCGGCATTGAACTCAACAAGGTGCTTTGGTTGTTGCGAAGTTGGGAATAAGCTCATCGTATTGGTTGAGTGGGTTGTATTAGAGAAGGAAGAAGTTGGACGAGTGTCCGCAATTAAAAGGCAGTCTTTGTACAAATTCATTCATGCGCCATCACTTTACTTTAAAACGATGCATACGTCATTGTTCCATCTTATTCATCTGATGCAAAGATAACATGATAGTTTTCGAGAATAATCTGCACTACTTGCATTTGATAATGAGCTTCTTGTAAGTGATCAAGGTCATTGGATGATGCTTCTTCATATCCCATCAAAGTCATTCCAAATATGGTCGCAAGGTTGGATGCATCCATTTTGTTGTGCATTTGATGTTGTTGCACTCTAAATCACATACACACATACACATATTAACAACTTTACAATGACTCTCTACATGCCTCCTTGCATCCTACTTACTTTTCCAAATGCCTCATGAGATATTCCAATGTCATGTAATTCTCCTCCGGTAACTCATGGACCATCATGGATATATCATTAACACGCGATTGCTCGTCATCGGATTCTAAGATTCATCATTATTATATAAACGAGGCCATTTTGGATCATCGACTAATTGTGCTTACTTGCAGCATCGATAAAATATGGATAAAGTGACCTAGGAAACAATGGATCTGGTAACTCACGCAACCAAAGTTTGAGAACGCTGGTCACATTATTGATTTCTTCTGGCACGCAATCATTCTCCAACAAGTGATGCCCAGCACAATCTTGATTCAAAGCAGCCCTTAACTTTTGCACCTGAGTGCTGATGCCAGGAATGCGATAGATCCCTATGGTATCCAGACCATGTTCTTCAACAGCTCTCGCACACCTGATTAAGATTATGGGAACACCTCCGTTGCGTGAAACTAAGGTCTTCAAATCTACACCAAAGACAGGAGCGGATAATGAAGCACTTGTAAGCTACATAAACAAGTAAGACAATGGTTCCTGGACAATGGGAATTCTCATTGTATGTTTACCTTGGATCTAAATAGATCGCTCCCTCCTCTTAACCTTGACACATTTTGATTGTTGTAGCTCTGAATAAATCCCATAAGATCCGATTCCTTGTCAATTCGTTCTGCCAATGATCTCAGACCCATGCCATGGTCATCATCAAGGGCTAAACCATCCGAAGCGATCGCTTGCTCAAATGCATAAGCGTATCGAGCAAGTTGGTATCGAAGCGCAGCACAGCATTCATCATTCACATCTTTCAATCCCTGTACATCATCCACTAATATGAGACATCCATCGTTATTTTCGAAGGGATGGCTTACCATTAACAATGCTTGATGCTGGGGATGATCTAAATGGCTGGCGGGAGCTCGAGGTTCTTCCATTTTACCAAGCTTCTAGAAACATCAGCACTTGGTTTATGTAAGTCAACGTATGTCTCATGCTTGCATACCTCTACTATTGGTGCCCTATTGTGCCTGAACAACCCTTTTCGTGGAATGCGATGGATACTGGATTTTCTTTGTTGTTGTGACTTTTGCTGCGAACCTAACTTTTCATTCTTGATACCATCTTAGTTATAGCCTCCATTGTCTATTTCCCTTTCCCCTTGCCTTCTTTCCCTACAATGTACCAGCTGTAATAAAACTTCAGCATCGGCAAGCTGTTGGCTATGCTTGGTTCCTAGTTCCTCAACCTGCAATAAGCATCACACAAATACGTTAGTGCCCTGTCCATGCTAAAATACAATAGCTTGATACCTCTTTGCTTTTTTCCTCCATATTGTCAAGTAACAGCTGTAAATCGTTTGCCACATGGTTCACGTTGTCCGCAAAATGCAGTCGCTGTTCACCAATGATCTCATGCACTTTCAGGGATTGCTGCCATGCATTACCATAGGTTCTAAACATCATCCATCACACGCCTATTATTAGCTCCAAATCACCATGTCCAAGCTATATCTTCATTACCCAGAGTGCTGCTGTGAGACATCATTCATGGATCGAGATAGCTGAAGCATTTGCTTTCCATACTCTTGTTCGATCGCGGCTCGTTTTTCCAAAAACAACATGGTATCCTATATGTGAGGACATGCATTAGCTGCTATCAATGAACACATCATCACTTACTTTTATTGCCTGAAGCTCTAGATACACCTTGTCACGTAAACAATGAAGCCCTTTTTGCTACACAATGGTGCACGGCCAGTTACACAAACGCAGTGATACAAACATTCTTCATGCATATGGCTTGTCATCTTTGACAATTCGCTTCCCATTCCCTTCAACACTTACGTCCAACCTAAACAATTCTTTCAATATGTCCTCTGTCATCTCTTGTTGCGTAGCAGATTTGGTTTTGACCATTTAAGTTTGGTTTTGGATAATAAAGTGGTGGTATTTGTTGTAAGCGATTTTGTGGATTGTTGATGAAAAAGAAATGCAAGCAGCAAGTGATTTGGAAACGAGAAGAAAAAAAAGATTGGTTCATCAATGTATGTTGACAGTCTACTGGCATGCATCAATTCTGACGGTAGGTGGAGATCCCCGATCCTAGCCTAGTCGATCCCCCTAATCGCCAAAAGTTGGCATATTCCGCGTCAGCTCATCCCACCCTCCTTCCACAACACATTTTCTCCTGATTCATATCCAAAACCCTCCACAAAGATCTTGAACGGTATATATATTTGGTGTCATACGTCATCATGATTGAGAACTATGAATATGCAGTATTGCCGTGGGATGAAAGGGTTGCTGCTAATGCATCAACTACAGTGTTGGATGGAATACCAAAGTGAGTAAACGATACGTATGTGTGATGTGAATAAGATTGCACTTACACCAAGGAAAGTTGCCTTTCTTTCCAATGATCGCCAGACTTGTTGAAATAAACTCATTGTCCCGAACGAACCTCTTTTCCATATTCTCCATGGTTTCCGTGAATTGAGGACTTGTCTCCACGTCAGGTTGGATAAACATCTGAGCTAAATCTTGTACTTGATCGAGAACCCTCAAGATGGCAGCATGGATGGATCGTGTCTGTAGCATGATGCATTCATGTCAATAAAGTACATATACATGGGCCGCCAAGAGAAATAGTCGTCCCTTACCTTATCTCCTAACAAGCACCGATCAACTATTCGATCAACGTAATCAGCGTGCAGTTGCACCATGTCATCCATATTCTCCAGCCTGCTAATGGTATGTCGCAACGCCATAGTCTCCGTATGCAACACCTGCAGCTCGACCCTTTAGCAAATGTCTCCTTTTCTTTTCCCTCCCCGCATGCGAACTTACTGTGGTCATGACATAGCTTGAGAATGAATTTACAAACCATATCAATCGAACACGCATGGAAACCATCCTCATGCTACGCTTTTGCTGTGTGAGCGTCTTCCGATCCAGGAGATGCTTGGTACGCTTGAGACGAAGTAAAAGGGTGGTGATCGAGCTGTATTTTCTTAATGATGATCGCCGGATATAGTTGTTGATAGGCCAAGGTAGCTAAGGAAGGGGTGTAAGATTACACGGCTTCGTTAATAAAGCTTGTCCACTTACATGGTAACTGAATCGGATCTTATCCAGGAAGCTTCCACTGGCATTGTGATCAAATGAGCATTCTGAAAGGGTCAAATCTTGATGTAAACCACCAATGGCACTCTTTGCATCCATAAAAAGCTTGTCGATCTGCGTGTTGGTGCTGCTATTCTCGGGATAGATGCCTTTGTCCATCTACCATCATTGCATTGCATAAGCACATGATCCGATATCATTGAACGCAGCTTTGGTACTTACTTTTTGAAACAAGGTCTCGCAAAAGATATGCATTAGCTCGTCCTCTAGCATCAGATAAATCGAGGCGATTCGACGAAGGTGGGATATCAGCGAACAGGATTCGTAAAGCACCACTCGCAGTTTTTGGGTTGCATGTAAATATGGCTCGGCAATATAGTCGTCGAGAGATTGCAATATGGCTTGATCGAATAAATATGGAGTAACGGTGGTATCGGTTGAAGATGACGTATGGGTGAGATGTTGGGTGCCATTTTTCAATAGAGGAAATCCTGCCTGCAGGAATCGGGTCTGTTGTGATAATGTTGGCTGAAATGGCTTTGATGGTGTGCTGTTGTCGGATGAATCAAATACTGTTTTTGGTGTGGGAATGACCTTGTCGAAACAATCAATGTATGTTGGGATCCGTTCCATCTAAATGGTCCCGGTAAGTCTTTCCTCCTTAACAGCATCGACAATCCAATAGTATAAAGTACCTCGTCTCTGAATCGGGAAATGATCTCTATTGCCTTGCCAACAAAGAACACCTTGTCCATGAATGTGTGATTGAATAATGGGTATCCTGATACATCATCGTCGTCCCGAGGTTCATGCACATAAAATTCATCCTCGACAAGTTCGCTATCGCGTCGATCACTCCTTTAAAAAAGAATCCCGTTAGCTAGATTTATAGCATCATCCAGAGATTAGCTTACCTGCTAATGAAAAATTCCTGTGCCACGTCTCCCTTCAAAGTTGCTCGTGTCGTCCAATCATCGAGTAATTGAGCAAAAGGCTTGATCGTCTCATGATACAAGTACACCAGCACATTGTACACATCTTGTTTCCCTTGTGTCTCAGCCTCACATATCCGCATATAGATAGTTGACAAAAGCTTTTGAGAAAGTGCTCTCGGGGAATCTATTAAGAATCACTGAATGTTAATGAAGACATGTGGATCAACTTAAAGTTGATAATAACCTGAATCATGGAGACGAGTGGTAACTTCATAGATGACTTGAAATGCTTTGAGTGATGGGTCCAGGGTATTCTTGAGTTTCAATATGGAAATGATCGATTTGCCACCTGCAACACATCTCGATTAGCATCGACAGGTACCCAATTGAAAAGTGCGTGTGATGTAATACCTTGTGTTTGACAATAGTCGACTTCAATGCTGCTCATGCGTCTTTCAAATGCCTGAAACATCTTCGCCACACAAACTGCAAAGGCTTCGCAAGTTTGACCGTAACGACGATCATCCGTTTTGCTATTGCTGAGCACTCTATAGCATGATGTCAACACAAGAGATTCATAGTTGCCTTATGATACACACGCACCTTTGAAGCCACTCCCGCAGGTTATTCATAATGTTGCCATACTCATTAAACTCCTTCAGGATGCTCTTGACGGCTGTGTTGCTCAAATGACTCAGAGGAAACGGCGTCGAGGCCACCTACATGGGAGGTATCCATGTGAACCGAAGTTCAATACTACATTCCTTTTTTCTCTACCTGCATCCTGATTGTCCTCGTTTCTTCATCATGTAACGTCGTCTTCTCGAAAAGAATGCTTGGCAAGCCTCGCAACATGAACACCACCTCTCTCATGATATCAGCTTCAGTAAGCTCTATTGAATTTCTCGATAAGCACCATATATAACTTGAGAGAATGCCCCTGAATGAATTACCTTCTGGATCTTCCCAGTAGCGTCGTACGTGATCCTGATTTCTTGCAATTTCCTCTTGATCATGTTCAATGATAGGCATATACGTGCTGTACCATCGCTCATCTGTGGGACTTATCGATCGCAATGGTTCTTGTTGCGTCGTTGATCGTGCCTGGTGATCCATTGTACTACCCATCAGTATACCGAATTTGATCCTCATGTATGCCCATCCACTCTTACAGCAACATTCACATACTTTGAAACGTGCAAGTTCCTCTTGATCCAGTTCCAGATCTTCTTCTGTGCCATCCATACTCATCATATCTTCATCCTCGTCATCACTCTGATATTGCTGCCAATGATCTCCTTCTAATGGCTCTTCCAGCAGTGTCCTTCGCCAAAAGTCGGCACCTGATTCCTGAACCGTATCCATTGCTGATGATGTTTCATTATCCAAAGGCTGAGATGGTGAACCGGACGATAAAGCGAGTAAAAGGGCAAGCATATCGTACTTGAGAGCATGTTGCGACTAGAAGAAGTGTAACATTTGTTGTCAGTCTATGAATAGAATTTGCATGTAACCATATCCTCATCCCAACATACACTGACGGACGTACAGCTATCACCTATCGAATGTGCATCATTCATAAACTTGTCCTTGAGCGATCGTAAACGAGTGGCTGCCTCGCCATAACCATGGATGCTAAACTTCTCACAAAGCCTGCATACACCAACACGTCAGCCTCGAGTATGATACTAGCACTGTATATATATATACCCTTCCCAGCGTCGCCTCACAGCGAATTCATCAGTACTGGTGAACCGATGCCGATCAAGACCTGTCAATGCGGGTTGCAAACGCGCCACAAGTGCTGGATCTACCTGATCACATGGGCCTTTCAGTTTCCTTGTCGAATGTCCAAAGCGATTGTATACTTGACGTGTCATTACCTTTCTCCCAAATACACTTTCAACCAGCTGTTGACGATTGTCCATTGGGGGAGTGTTGTTGATCGAGGAGGGAGGAAATAGAAAGGAAGGTCAAAGCGTGGTGTGGTGGAACGAGTGACAATGAATAGCGATGGCTGCATTGCTACAAATTAAATTGGGACTGCACGTGACACAGCTGCCATCCGTTTGGCGACGTCTTGAGTTATCCACCTCGATCGTAAAACCTCTACACAAGGTTCTTTGAGCCACGTTGAGTAATTCGTTCTATTAAAAACGCCCGACGCATGATTGTAAGGTTTTGAGGTACAAGTGCCTTTACGTTTTACCTATGCAGCAAGCATGGTGCTATATAGGTTGACCTGTGAGACACCTCCTTGAACACTGTAAGTTAAATCTTGATTATGGGATTGCCCACTTCGATCGTGAAACTTTCACACAAGATGCTCCTGAACATGCTGATCAACTTCATTCATTTAAAAGTCGCAGACTTCATTGCGAAGATTTAAAATGCGGGGCGACCCAAATGGTGGATGATGGGAACAAAAGAGCGGACAGCCCACTGCCCCGAAGTTGCCCACTTCCAACTTGCAAATTGGTCAGCATGCTGCTCTCGAGCATGCTGATCAACTTTTTCTAATAAAAACTTCACGCTTCATTTGAAAATTTGGAATGGGAGCGTCCAAAAGTTTGAAAGACGGAGACATTCGCAGGGTCTGCGATTCATTAATTTTCATGTTTGCTGTTCCAGCGTAGCTCACTCAAATCGGCTCGGATCAAGAAACTTGAATGATGGAAATGCTCGGCTGGAGCAGGAGAATCGTTCCCATGGAGTGGATTTTGCAACAACGCTGATTGGAAGGAAATGGCTGTTAGCTCGCTATACATGGACATTATTAAAGTACTATCCATCAATCCTTCCAGTCATGCAAAAGTAGCTGTGTTACACAAAGAGGTCCCTCTGCATCTTTTACTCTGCCAGGGTCTAGCTACTTGGCAATGAACAAAGACCACTTCTCATATAGCATCACGCTTACAAACATAAAGGTGACTGTATCTCCAAACTTTACAATGAAACGTGGGGTTTTTATTAGAGCAATGTGCTCGGCTTGGCCAACTGCACCTTGGGTGCAAGTTTCACGATCAAGCTTGCCAATCCCAGATTTCGCAATGTCGCCACCAGCCAAACTGGATCCAGGGGTCGACCTCTTGAAACTTTTTTTCGACGACCAAAAAATATTTTTTGGGCTGTTTGCGACATTGAACGCGAAACTTTCACACAAGGTGCTGTTGGCCAAGCCGAGCCCATTGCTCTATTCAAAACCCCACGTTTCATTGTAAAGTTTGGAGATACAGGCACCTTTATGTTTGTAAGCGTCATGCTATATGAAGAGTGGTCTTTGTTCATTGTAAAGTAGTTGGACCCTGGCAGAGCAAAAGATGCAGAGGGTCGTGTTGTGTAACACAGCTACGTTTGCATGAATGAAAGGGTCAATGTATAATTACTTTATGGATCATCTAGGAACAGGCATGTATTGCTAGCTAACGGCCACTTTTATCCAATCATATAGTTGCCAGATCCACTGCATGGGAACGATGCTCCTGCTCCAGACATTCATTTCCATGATTAAAGTAAGTTGATCCGAGCTGATTTGACTGAGCTGCGGTCAAAGAGAGATTACATCACTCTGGACATAAAGCACGCTCGATGTAGCTCAACCGATGTAATCTTGTGTGAGCGTAACTCGACCAAATCAGCTCGGATCAACCTACTTTAATAATGGAAATGAATGTCTAGAGCAGGAGCATCGTCCACCTACAATAGAATGCACAAAAGTTGGGAATGCACCAAAGTAGCTATTAGCGGCCAATGTATGACATAAAAGTGAGGGTTGCGTACCTATCATGCATTGTTCCTGAAGTCCTGACTTTTTAGCTGAGTTACCCAAAGAGGTCCTTCTGCATCTTTGGCTCTCCAGGGTCTAGCTACTTGGCAATGAACAAAGACCACTTCTCATATAGCATCACGCTTACAAACATAAAGGTGCCTGTGTCTCTAAACTTTACAATGAAACGTGGGTTTTTATTAGAGCAATGTGCTCGGCTTGGCCAACTGCACCTTGGGTGCCAGTTTCAAGTTCATCGCGGCTAATCCCAAATTTCGCAATGTGGCCACCAGCCAAACTGGATCCAGTGGTCGACCTCTTGAAACTTTTTCGACGACCAAAAAAATTTTTTGGGCTGTTTGCGACATTGAGCGCGAAACTTTCACACAAGGTGCTGTTGGCCAAGCCGAGCCCATTGCTCTGTTAAAAACCCCACGTTTCATTGTAAAGTTTGGAGATACAGGCACCTTTATGTTTGTAAGCGTGATGCTATATGAAAAGTGGCCTTTGTTGATTGTCAAGTAGCTGGGCCTAGAACGAGAGATGCAGATTGACTTGTCTGTGTAACAAGCCGTGAGACCTGTTCCTATTGGTAGAGGATGCATGATGCCCCTGACATGAATAAAAGGTTCCTTCCCTCATAGTAAGGCCATCTATGGCAGCCCTAAACTGAATGGCACGTTCCCATGTAAGGCTGTATGATATAGCGTATGCTGAAATCGTCATAGTTAAACGTGGTGTGTTAATGTACTCGTACAGCATTGTATTACTAGAGTTCACTCTTTCTTGTTGGAGTACATAATATGAATCAAGCTTACAATGAGTGAAGCTTTTGTAACAAGCGTGATTATTGAAGCTGCATCGCCATGAGTTTACTATCTTTGTGAATACGAGTGTCTACGTATTATGAACAAGCGCCTATTAAAGGAAAAAAGGCACCAGTATATGATTCAACCTCATTTTTCGAACTTCATGTTTCAATTCCCTTTCAATCCACTTCACTTAATCACCATCAACCAATCGCATGATCCACATCTTGCACATATGGATTCATAGTATGATACTCTCGTTCATTTGCTGAATCCAATATTAATTCAGTGGGAGTCGAAGAAAAAGATATGGTAGCATGGATGTTTCTCATGTAAATACGATAACGAAACTACGAATAGGCATGTCTGGATCATATAGAGCTAATGGATGTGATTGCATTCTCATCTGCTGTCTCCATAAGCATCATCATCCAGGGTCCCAAAACAGTTGCTGCGTGCTTGCTTCCAGTGATCAATATCATCCATGGCTGTAAAACACCTCTCGTCAAAGGCATAAGCCCTCTCATCATCATCGTCAATCGTATCCATGTGATACGCTCACCATTTCTTCTAATGACATGCCATGGTAACCAAAGCAGCATTCTAAGATTACTCATCACTACACCTGCTTGCGTCCATCCATCATAATGACATCGTCCAAACCAACCCGATCAATGTATGTATCCAATTTCTTCTATCCAATGTATTATACCGATATCCATATCCATTCCATAAAAAGTTGTATGTATTGAAGTTGCTACACGTAAATAAGGCTACTTCTATACAATGGTCTATCTGCTGTTCACGTAATAAAGGCTGTAAGGGAGGTTGCTGCAAGTAACTTGAGACAATGCAGTAAGGACCTTGCTAATGTCAACGGCTGCTATGATTGGTTGTGGCAAAGGGGCAGTGTGTAGTATCAAGCAAGGCACTTGTTGTATTAGAATGATATGAAGGATGTGTACATGCCACCAAGTCGAAGTCTTTCGCATCAAGGCAAGTGTAGGGTTTACATGGTGGATTAAAGCAGGATAATAAATTACATGTGGTAGTTGTACTTGAATAGGCCAGCAGTTGAGGGAGGGAGATGATGGTGGTACATGATGCCTGGCACCCAACCGGGGGTTCTTCCACCGGGCATTATCCAGCAATTATAGCCCGATCCACGTACCTTGGTTTTCCACACTCGTCTTCTTCTCTCTCACGCGATATGAAAGTAGTCGTTACTCGCATTCTGCCTCCCGAGACTCAAGCCTTGCTGGAAGCTCAACATTTCGACTTGGTGCAATGGCAACAAGATTGTGTCATGCCTCGCGAGGAACTATTGAAGCAAGTCAAAGGTAAAGCCAATGACCAATGCATTAGTTAAACGTTACCCTGTTGACACTTGTACTATACAAAGGTGCCGAAGCACTCATTTGCCTTTTGACGGATCGTATCGATACCGAGTTATTGGATGCTGCAGGTATATTGAGATATCATGATTTGACAGTATTCGATACTCACATTTCCCCTGAATCTTGCATGGATACGTACAGGTCCCCAACTCAAGGTGATTGCTACCATGAGTGTAGGATACGATCATGTGGATGTGGATGCTGTTCGTGCACGCAACATTGAGCTTGGATACACACCCGATGTCTTGACAGATGCAACGGCGGATCATACGGTGCTCTTGACATTGGCAGCAGCACGTAGAATGAAGGAGGTACGTGGTATCATCAACATGGAAAGAAACAAGGAATCAGAGCATGACAAAGGATACATACATAGGGTATGATGGCTGCAGAGAAAGGAGAGGTATGTGTGTACATTTGATATGGATTCATTCATCCACAAGGTATGTGTTATTGATGTTGTTGTTGTTAGTGGGGAGCATGGCGTCCAACTTGGTTGTGTGGATCCCAATTCACTGGCAAAACTCTTGGCATTGTTGGTATGGGCCGTATTGGTGAAGCTGTTGCTCATCGTCTCGCTCCCTTTGGTATTCGGCGTATCATGTACTGGGGTCGTCAAGAGAAACCTGATGTCGAGAAGCGTCTACCCATGGCACAGTTTACTGGATCCCTCGATACCTTGTTGGCTGAATCAGACTTTGTCATTGTTTGTTGTGCTCTCACACCCGAGACTCGAGAATTGTTCAACTATGATGCCTTTAACAAGATGAAGGATACAGCAGTAAGTATACTACATGAGTATATTTCTTTTATTCCCGATCTAAACTCTATTTGTACATAGGTCTTTGTCAATACAGCGCGTGGTGGCATTGTCAAGCAAGACGATTTAGGTAAGGCGTGGAAAAAGAACAATGCGACATGTACGCCATCTGAACTATTTGTTTATGCATGCATTTATCGTAGTCCGTGCACTTAAAGAAAAAAAGATTGCTGCTGCTGGTCTCGATGTCACAACCCCTGAACCATTGCCACCCACCGATCCACTTTACAAATTGCCCAATTGTATCATCCTCCCACACATTGGTAAGTATCCATCCTACTACGATGACGGCTTGCGAAGAAGATCAAATCATGGATTCTAAACACATTTATTTTAGCGAGTGCCACATTTGAGACGCGTGAGCGCATGGCCAGCATGTGTGTCGACAATGTCATTGCAGCATCCAAAGGGGAACCACTGCCATATAAGTTGTAAAGATGAAATGTATAGTAAAAGAAATTGTACAATACAAGGGAATAAACAAGCAGCACGGATAAACGGAGGCATGTTGCGATTTAGATGGAGGTGATGCAGCTTCCAAAGAAGCGACGGATGAGCTCACGGCCATAAGGAATGTAGCTTGCACTATAAAGACAAGCAATAATCAATATCCATCCTCATTCAAATGTGTCCACTCCTACGAATACTTACGCATACCACACCAACGCACAAAATTGGACAATGACCAGGATAATGGAGATGATGACGTTTTTCAGCTATTTGTTATTGTCGCCGCATCAGAGTCAAGATAACGTGTATTGTATACGTGTCGTAGCTTACCAAGATGGATAGAACCAAGGTCAACACCAACAATGAGAGGTAAATAGTCGTTGCCCAGAATCGCACTATGATAGCCAATTCAATAAACATTGTCCATATCCTATCCTCATCCATTGCCAACGCTTACCAGGTGCGAAAATGGTCTTGAATAATTTGGGAATACCAACAATGAATGTCATACTAAGGTTACCTCACACGTGTGAATTTCATGATCTGACAAAGAGCATCCCGCTTTTCCTCCTTACCTTAACAATGACACCAAATTACCAATACTGTAGAGAATAGCAAAGCCTGCAATATTTCCAGAGATCAAAAACAAAGTGGACTTGATGATGATGCATAATATGAGTGATCGGTTGATTTTCGGCTGCAGCATCCACTTACAAAGATAGAAAGCACCATGCCAATAAGGAAGCTATTAAAGGTTGATATGAGCAACGTCTTTCCTCGACTATAAAGCAGTGTCGTCTTACCAACAGCCGAATGCATAGAGTCGTTGCATACGATCCAGACCAAGGAATTTCCAGGTGCCTTTCATAGTAAATTCCCCACACACACAGTGGTCGTCAGTCAATGCAATGGAGCGCCAAGTTGGTCATTGTGCAATACGTTACCATCGTCCATGGTACCCTGGTCTTCATAGCTTGACGAAAAGAAGCCGAATGGCATGTTGGTATTATGTGGTGGTGTAGGACGCGAGGAAGCTAAAGCGAGAAAAAGGAAATAAAGAGTTCAGCTCGTTTCAGCAGCATATTATAAACGCGGGATCGGGAACGGAATAATGGATGCACAGAGCTTTCTTTTTCTCTCACATGTGCATGGCACCTCCATTGTTCGTGTTTGTTAAATCATATCATATCAAATACACTCTAAACAAAGAAATCGGTATATGCAATACAAATTTTGGAAACGATGAATCAATCTGAACGTGTGCAAAGGTGTAATGGCAGTGTATATATCTTTCTATGTGCATGATTAAAGGGGGGGAATGTGTGTATATAACAAGAGAGTAATCTATTTCTACAATCTTTCCTTGACCCATCCTTCAAGACCGTTGGCAAGCCAAATTTCTTGAACACTCTTGCCAAGAGCACCGACCTTGTATGTCTTTTCAGAACCATCAGGCTTTTCAACTTGGAGACGGCCTTCAGCAACATGGATGGTCACCTTCCATGAAGTACGGCTCGTAAGTTTATCCGTGCCAACTTGCTCCTTGAGATCATTAACAAGCTCGGGGGAATCAATCAACAACAAGGCATTATTGATAGAGTTGCGCTTAAAGATATCAGAGTAGGAGCCTGCAATCATGATGGGAATGTTACGCGACTTGATGGCAGTGGCAGCTTGTTCACGTGATGAGCCGGTACCAAAGTTATAACCACCCACAAGAATATCACCCTAATTACAAGTCAATAAATACATGTACATCTTAAAACAGAGTATAAGGATAATCTTACCTGCTTGACAATGTTGACAAATTCAGGATCATAGTTCTCCATCACCACCTTGCGCATGTCATCCACAGTCATTTCATCATTGTAGGTGTACTTGCCAGGATAGATACCATCGGTGTTGAGGTTATCAGCATGGCAGAAAAGCAACTCGCCCTTGACCACAGCAGGGAAGTTGGGAAGGACTTCAGGAGTAGCAGTGGATGAAGCATCATCAGTAGAAGCAGCTTGTGGGGTCATTGTCTCAATGGTGAATTTGGGAGTAGGAGTAGGAGTAGCAGGAGCACCTTGGCCATCAATGCTACTAGGCGATGCGATCTTGCCAGCAACAGCAGAAGCAGCAACCACAGCTATTCAATAAAGTAAATAAATGGATGGCCTATGTTGTTTTTTTTTCAATCCATGAATGACTTACCAGGAGAGGCAAGGTATGCGAGTGATGACAATGAACCCATACGTCCCTTAAAGTTACGGTTGGTAGCAGAAATGCCAACTTCGCCATCCTTCAATAAACCAGTGCCCAAACCTATATATACACAACAATGAGTTACCACCATGATCCATTATCCCTCTCATTTCATTACTTACCAATGCATGGACCACAGCCAGCAGGCAATGGTTTGGCGCCAGCTTCCAACAAGGTTTGCCAATCGCCTGTTTCTTCAACTTCCTTTTGTACTTCAGAGCTTGCAGCAGCAACGTAAAACTCGACGCCCTCCTTCACTTTTTGACCCTTGAGTACTTGAGCAGCTTGACGCAAATCGCTAGCACGGGAATTGACGCATGAAACGAGATAGGCCTTATTGATTTTGACATCTTGGGCTTCGAGTTCAGCTAAAGGAGTAGCCACCTTGACGGAATTAGGACCGGAGATGTAGGGTGAGAGGGTCGACAAGTCAAGGGTGAGCTTTTTGGCATAGGTGGCATTGGGAGAGGGTTCCAATGGGTTGTCAACAAGAGCTTGAATGGTTTGTTCATTGATACGAGGATGCACAAAAGGTTCACCAGGGGGAGTAGGTGGCAAGTTTTTGTTTTCAAAATGAGTGAGTGCGATGCGACGCATACGCTTACGCATGTATTCAATGGTCTTTTCATCCACAGGGAAGACACCAGCAAGGGCACCCCATTCGGTGGTCATGTTGGCAATAGCAAGACGATCCTCAACCGATAATACTTCACCACCGTGGAATTCGATAGCCGTATTAAGCACCTGATCCTTGTTGAACAATCCACACAAGCTGATAATCACATCCTTTCCGGTAACACCCTTTGGCAATTCGCCCTGTAATTGCACCTTGACAACAGGAGGAATTTGCCACCATGTTTGACCCGTAGCCCAAATAGCAGCCGCGTCGGTACGTACAATGGGTGTTCCGACAGCACCAATGCCGCCATAAATATTCGAATGAGAATCAGAGGCCACAGTCAAGGTATGTGGAAAGGCATAACCCTCTTCAATCATGACTTGATGACCAATACCTCTTCCAGCGGGGTAAAAATCCACTCCATGTTCCTTTGCAAACTTTTCAATGTTGCTGTACTTTGTAAGATTCTTTTCAGTTTTGTTTTGCACGTCGTGGTCAAGTGCAAAAACAGGTTGCTTGGGATCGTAAAACTTGGTGGCGCCAATCGATTTGAACCTATTGTATCATGCTTGTAAGCTACCACGTAACCAGGCAACGCCAATCTCCATGGCAACCCCACACTTACTTTGGCATGACAGCACCGGTGTTGTCGTGTGTAAGCACATGATGAGGACGAATCGATACATAATCACCACTCTTGACCTTGTATCCTTCAGGCAAATCAAGGGCATACTTTTGGACGATCTTTTCAATCAAGTTTTGAGTATCGGTGGCATCCGTGGTTGATGCAAAGGATCGACGATATAAGGCTGACGGCATGAGTCGATATGCCGACATTGTGGTGGAACGTAACAGGTTGGTCTTTGAAATAGTGACAAGCATGATGATGGAAGAGTGGGGGGAGGGAGAGAGGGGGGTAAAGATGAATGTAGGTATTCAAGTGAGGGAAGAAAAAAGAAAAGAAAGAGAGAGCTTGTGTGAGAGAGCGTTGCAAGTCAAAAAAGATTTGAGACAAGCAGATAAAGATAATCAATGGGTGATGTTTGATGAGATCTGGTATGATCCAAAAAAGGAAAGAGGACTATCTTGATTCTGATAGGCTAACAACATGTGAAGGTGCCACCCAACCACAGCTCCCAAAATTATTTTTCCAGTTCTCGCTCGTCGCTGCTCTTGGTCCACGTCTTTACCCCTTCTTTCTCTCTTGCCGCATTCCTTGTCATTCTACTCATTACTTTACTCTATACATACCCCACCTCTCATAATGAACGCAAGAAAAACACAAAACCTTTCCGAGGCAAAGTTGAATCGCCTTCTCGAGTACAATCAGCGTCTTAAAGAACTGCTCGATATCCCTCGCACTACTGTATCCGAGGCATCCACACGGTAAGATACCATTCATTCATCTATGCGTCGTATCATGGTGGATTGACAATAATGTAATCATAGCTTGATTGATCATTGCAAAACTACACGCGATCCAATGGTTCCATCGGTATGGGGACCTATTGACAAGAAGGACGATCCCTTCGCACCAACCTCTGGAAGCGGATGCTGCACAGTAATGTAAAAAAGTCACCTATGACCTTTTGTTGTCTCGGTCTACAAGTCAATGATGGCGATTTACAACGTGTTGCTGGATGGGAGAGAAGAGGAAAACACCATCACTATTACAAGCCCTACTATCACCTTCTCCCATCTTCCCTTGATTTTCACCCTATTGCATGATTCCCTTTGTTTCTTTTCTTTCATATTTGTATATATATCATATAATGCTCATCCTATTTCAACAACAACGACTTGGATAGCTTCGGTCTTGACCAGGTAATTCTTGTCGTTCATATTCCATCACCAAAAATAAATATAAATGGAAATGCCCTGTGCAACAACACACAACAGTGAAGCCTGTATACATTTTGAACTCAATACCCAATCGTGGTTCCTATAACTTATGTACGCTCTCTCTCTCTCTCCTCACTCCTCTCCACCCCACCAATAACTCCGTGAATCTCCTTTCTGTTAAACCACCAGCAGCAGGGATTTAGTTTATTCTGCCATCGACCTTGTTGGATATCCTAGTTGTTACTTGTATACTGTATTCAACCACCAAATCGGTCACCTCGGTTAAATTGTTTGTTTGTTACACGTTATGCTACTTGTTCTACTTGTTTTGTGATGCCCCAAATGAACACCTTGATGATACATGTCTTGTTTGGGAATTCCACCTTGTTGGCTATGTGTGTGGTTGACATCCATCAATGCTAACCGACCCCCGTTTCAGTCGGCGTACGAACCTTTGTCTATAACACAAAGCGGCGATCTGTGCCTTTTATGAAAAAGAGTGATGACACCAACAACACAACCCTTCTTCTCTCCATATGAATGCATCCGTAATCCTTTCATGATACATACCAAGACTTCATACATACCTCATACCATTAGTCAATAGATCCTTCTTCATGAATGAATGGATCGACACAACAACTCAAATAAAGAAGGAGGATGGATGGAGGTTCGTGGTACACGTTATCCAACCTTTAACCATGGTCATCTTGTGCTGCTATCGCCGATCACTAGCTGTTTTAGAAAAAAATGCATGTCATCAACGACAATTTATTGAGTAAACCACTGTACCCAGTTCTTGGAAAAGACAATGGCTACCTTATTTTCGAGTCACCTGATCCTTCTTCAATGATGAATACACCAAAGCATCGAAATAACAAGCCATAGAGCAAGTTGATGACAGCTGTCATCGAACATCCTTCTTACAATAATCCCACAACTACTACTTACATGGTAAGACTAGATGCAAGAGTATAAGAAGGAGAGTGACAAACTTCACACGAGCATGTTGCTTGTACAAATATAGGTTGTGCGTGTGGAATCTACGTACATCAGCTCTATGCTGATGCCTATACGATCCTTTTTCTTCTCGCGTGCAGGATTCCTTTACCCCATTTATGGGGGATGTGATTGGCTGCTCGATGTTGATTGGCTGCTCGGTTGTCAAGGGCAGCAACCCATAATAGGCAGGGAGGTCATATAGGGCTGTGCGTACCAGGTTAACCAATTATACTTATGATGCTGCATGGTCACGCAGATCATTTAATGCTGCTACGCTTACAATATCAAAGCCGTAGCATACCATAGTATGATCATTTACTACTACAAATGTTAACGTATGATAGATGAGTGTCATGGTTGGGGTTGGCGGACCAACGACATGTGTCAGCATCACAAGCTTATTGTTGGGCACATAGAAAACAACGTGTTACCGATTATGCGTGAAGGTCAACAAGCCAATATAAGCTTTTGTAGCATACAACAGTCCTGATCTTGGCGCAATAGATGAAAATGCCAAGTCTGGATGCATCACGAGTGGTGATAATACATGACTTAGGGGATAGTTTTATGTTTAGTAAGCGCATTGGGACACTTGTGTCGGCAAGATTCGTCTAAAATAGGCAGGTGGATCCACGCAACGCGAATAGACATCCGGGTCCAGCGTACTACAGAGTATTCGGCGTCTGAAAGTTGAAAAAGTATAAGATGCAAATGAGCACCGAAAAGACTATGCCCCTTTTTAACTTTTGAACAATGGAGTCACCCGACAAGATCAAGGTGGCTGTCATTGGATCTGGATTGGCAGGTCTAAGCACAGCGTACCTACTCTCTGGCAATGATCAATACGAGCCCCATTTATTTGAAAAAGGCACCAAACTAGGCATGGATGCTGCATCCATGTCCATAGGCAACAAAAAGGATGAATTCAGAGTCGATGTAGGTTTACAGCGTCTGTTGTCATTGAACCATAAGCTCACTCAAATTTATATGGAGGCAGGTTCCGATGCGATCATTCATGTCTGGTAATCTTTTATTTGGATCCAAACAATACACATACACACATGGTCATCCTTTGCTCACTCTTCGTTTCTATTTCCAGGCTATTACAACCACCTTGTTCGACTCTACGATCACTTGGAGATTCCTAGCTTGGCAGCCAAATTCAGCTTTGGTTGGTATCGGATCGGATCGCCGAATGAGACTGAACCCATACAAATGCCAGCCGACAAGTTGGCATCGCATACCAGCAACACGTCGCATCTTGTATACAGTGGATCGCGGACCGTAGGGTGGATCGAGTCAGCAGGACCAGCAGCAGAAAGTGTAGCCGACTATCTTGCAGGATGGATGATGGCATTTTGGAAGATGTATGTGGTGGCAACGTCGTATCTCTATCTCATGATCATGTCGCTTTGGCTCTATCATCGAGGTCATCTTCATAATCAACAGCATCCAGTATTCAGCATGACGCTTGGCAATTGGTTTGAACACCATCGCTTCCATCCTTATTTCATCCATGAGGTGTATGTGCCCCTTTTCGCAGCCGTATGTACCAACTCCTGGAAGTCCATGCTTGATTATCCTGCAGCTGATATCCTTGGTAAGAAAGTGTCCGTGAGAGTAAGAAGGATGGCGTATTGATCATTGGATAGAATACATGGCGATGGGACTCTTCCAAGAATCATACGTGGTGTCTGGAGGTGTACGCCGAGTAGTGGATCGATTGTCAGCGCCCTTGAAACACATTCATCTCGAGACTCAGATTGTAAGCATTCGGCCGAGTACGACTCCTGGCTATCGACTTGATTTACATGATGCATCAGGCAACGTTCACCCCTTCCATCATGTTGTCTTTGCCACGCAAGCAAACCAAGCATGCCGCATTTTGAGAGGATGTATCGAGGAATTACTTGACAACCATGATGATTCGGTGGCACATCAAGAATTATTGCATGATATTCAATCATCGATCGGGATCCTACAACGATTTGAATATGATCGAGCTGTAGTTGTCAATCATACCGACAAGCGATTACTCCCCGATGATCCATGCCATTGGCGTTCACTCAATCTCGCCTCCTTGGATACTTCAGTACAACACACAACCTCCAGCGATTGCATTGTTCCATACCCACACGATACAACAATGACAACCCACATCCTTAATCTCACCCATCATGCCCGTTTCGACAATGATACGATCCTTTATATGCAAACAACCAATCCATGCATCTCACCAGATCCAGCTCATGTCCTTTCTACATCGTGGTTTGAACGTGCTACTGTTACACTGGAATCCAAACGTGCTATTCTTGATGGATTATTCACGCCTATGAATACATCCGATGTGCGTTCCTTACAATTGGGTCGGTGTCAAGGTCCGAGTGGATTATGGTTTGTAGGGTCCTATAGTTGGCCTGGTATCCCATTGCTGGAAGGATGTGTGGCAAGTGCAGAAATGGTGGTCACCAAAGGCATTGCTGCTGAAGAAAAGGTTCCTCTCGTCGTACCTTGGTAAATAGTCATTATCCCCCCCCCCACCTCCTCCTTTCAAAATCATTCCCTAGAAAGTGTGCATACTCGCTATATAATATATTCCTTTGTCATTGTAATCCATTTATCACTTGAAGCAAGTCTTCTCTTTTTGGTGTCGTGTAGTACAAAGGTGGCGTGATATGTCATGATACGTGACACAATGTGCATCGTGTCTTGGCTCGAGAGCCATATTAAGCATCGCTAAGGTTGCTCTCTTTACTCGTAAACACTTGAAGGGAGTAATGAACTTATAATAAGCTTACACCTTTATGCAGCCACTTTACAATCTCGTGGTAGTCATCTATAAAAGAACCTGCATCCCTTTGCTTTATCCATCTTTTTTACAATAAGAGAGCAATCTCTGTAATAGGCTACATACCTTGGAACATTGTTCAGGGCAACCATATCTAATTTCTGGTAGCTATCAGCCCATCCCTCCCATTCACCTTTGTTGCCCAATCCACTGCATACGATTGATTCTCCTGCTCTAGCCCATCATTTCTATCATTCAACTATCATGATTTGAGCTAGCCTGGTCGTAAGGCAATGGCTGTTGTTGGATCATCATTATCATGTAAAGTGTAAAATGGCACACACCCTTTTGCTATACGTGAGGTTCATCATTTCTTTTATTTACGTGTACCTATTGTCTACTGTATCGTGAGGGTGATGATGACGATGGGTGATGGTGTGTGTGGGGTCATTGAGTGGCCTCAGTGTAATAGCAGTAGGGGGTTTAAACTTGGGGACAGCAGCTCCACGACTTGAGACAACGCTTCTCTTCTCTTTCTCACTCCTCTGCTTTTATCCCATTCACGACATCTCGATCAAGGTAATGTATTACAAAAAAGTGCTCTTGTTGGCTGTGAGGTGTTAATGTAGTTCTGAACATGCATTGTCAGGGAGTGAGTGTGTCCAAGTGCTGAGGAATGAGCGTGGTTGGTGGTTGGTGGTTGCCATGGCGATACTGTTGCTTCCTTTTGCTCGTTGCTATTCCCGCTCTACGCTTGGTGTCAACAGGTACATTCAGAGTCCAATGTTGCAGTCGAATTGGTTCCATTGACGCGTCAGCTTGTATAGAGGGCAAGTTCGGTTTCAAGACCTTGGCTGGTTTGGCGTTTTGTTTCGGCTCAACTATACTACTACACCATGGTTTTCGGTTTCCAGTAACCAACAACAACGGGTCTCTTGTGTATATGGAAAAGGCAAGTACAATGAAACAAACAATGAAAAGGGTGTTCATTGTGCGTGTGTGCTAATAATGAATTGCATAGGTTTCTTTGGTCAGGCAATGCAACTTGGGGCATCATCATCATCTCTTTGGGTTCAAGTCCCAGCCTGTATCAAGTGGTCGCTGCGTCGCTCTGCACTAGCCAAGTGTGCTGGAAAAGCTTCTTGGAACGCGTCCAGGGCTCTATAGGCCTGCGTTGAGTTGAGGATGGGTCGATGACGATGGATTTTTGGAAGAGCATGGTCACCGTGTTGAGGTAAAAGGGGATTTGCAACAGCTTGTGAATGTGTTTAACCAACACGCTCTTCTCGTGATAGGCTCATTCTTTCCCTTGAGGATTTCTTTTCATGAGGTGGGAAATGATTGGAAGGATTGGGGATCATTCTTTCTTTGGAGAGGATGAATGAGAACAACTATGAGCCTGGACTCTACGTAAGTGATGTCCTTCCTTGCCATGGATCGAACTGGCCTTGCGTGATTCGTGCAGTGCCTTCTCAAGAACAAGGGATCGCCCGACGTTGCTCGTATGGTGGTGATTTGGTTTGTGATTTCCTTCTGATTTGCTTTCTTCCTTAGAGAGGATCGCCTAACGGTATACCAAATCGATATCATTCCGGTACCAGATGGTCTAACTTGCCTGCTTTCTTATTTGTAGAGACGACGATTACGACGATTACCACATTCGCCAACAATGACGATTACGATGATCACCCCATCTACAACAATGACAGTGATGACGACAACGAGATTCAAAAGTAAGCCTGCACGATCCCATTCTTTTCAACTTGTGTATTTTTGGATGTTGGTGTGACGGATGAGATTGAGGACTGGTGACGAGTACGAGTAGGAATGATGACGGAGGTCGACTACGACGATGGTGGTGGCAATGTACAGTACATAGCAAGATAGCTAGATGAAATAAAGCATTGTTTATTTATTACACGCTTGTTGGAGGTTGCTAGCTTGTGGATTACATACTATTGCTTCGAAGATGGAATAATAAAGGTGGTCCGTTACTGTATCAGTCATGTAAGAATTACATGGCTTTTGTAATGCGATAAGGAGGAGTGAGAAGTGGGATGAGCTTGAGAAGAGAAAAAGTGAAGAGATCCCTCCATTGAGTTTCAGGATGAGTGACCCATTCAATATGTATATGTATCTTTTTACATATACAAATTGGTTTATGCAGCTCGACTTTCTTCTACATGCAGATGTGATGCATACCTTGACACACCTTCATGGTTGGATGCTGTTTTACTTACGTACCTTCACAAAAAGCAATCATCATGATCATCCATGTGTGCAGCAACCTGTCAAGGACGTGTCTGTGTAACCACCACATGCCGTTTCACTCAGCTTCATCTTTCCGTTAATGCAGCCGACACCATCCACTAGGAAAAAGCAACTCCATCACGCTTATAGCATAGGCAAAACATAAAGACGCCTGTATATCCAAACTTTACAATGAAACGTGGGGTTTTGAATAGAGCAATGGGCTCGGCTTGGCCAACAGCACCTTGTGTGAAAGTTTCGCGTTCAATGTCGCAAACAGCCCAAAAAATATTTTTTGGTCGTCGTCGTCGAAGAGGTCGACCCCCAGATCCAGTTTGGCTGGTGGCGACATTGCGAAATCTGGGATTGGCCACGATGAAGGTGAAACTGGCACACAAGATTCCTTTGACCCCGACGAACAGGTTGCTCTAATAAAAACCCCACGTTTGATTGTAAAGTTTGGAGATACAGGCGTCTTTATGTTTTTACTATGCTGTAAGCATGATGCTATATGAAGAGTGGTCTTCGTTCAAATGTCAAGTCGCTGGACCCTGGCAGAGCAAAAGACGCAGAGGGACCTCTTTGTGTAACTCAGCTACTTTGCATGACTAGAAGAATGGAAGAATGATACTGTATACTATTGACAATATCCCATACATTGCGAGCTAACAGCCATTTCCTCACAATCGGCAATGTTGCCCATTCTATGACAGTGGAACGATGCTCCTGCTTCAGACATTCATTTCCATGATTGGATTATGTTGATCCGAGTTGATTTGGCTGAGTTACGCTCATACAAGGTTACTTCAGTTGAGCAACATAGAGCATGGTTAGATGTGTGGATTGATGTAAACCCTCTTTGGCTGTATCTCGGTCAAATCAACGCGGATCAACATAATCCAATCATGGAAATGAATGTCTGAAGCAGGAGAATCGCTCACATGTCATAAAGTGGACAACAGTGGCTATTGTGAAGAAATGGCTGTTAGCTCGCAATGTACGGGCTTTTGTCAACAGTATACAGTATCATCCTTCCATCCTTCCAGTCATGCAAAGTAGCTGAGTTACACAAAGAGGTCCCTCTGCGTCTTTTGCTCTGCCAGGGTCCAGCGACTTGACATTTGAACGAAGACCACTCTTCATATAGCATCATGCTTACAGCATAGTAAAAACATAAAGACGCCTGTATCTCCAAACTTTACAATCAAACGTGGGGTTTTTATTAGAGCAACCTGTTCGTCGGGGTCAAAGGAATCT